GCCGGCTGGAACTCGGGCCGTGCGGGCTGAGAGAGCTGCGGCGCTTGGTTCCCCCCGGGCCGCGGCGGGGGCAGGTGGGGGCGCAGGCCCGGGGGATGCTGGGCTCGGTGAAGATGGAGGCCCACGACCTGGCGGAGTGGAGCTACTACCCGGAGGCGGGCGAGGTGTGTCCGCGGGGATGGCGGAGCGGGAAGTGGGGCACAGGAGTCAAGGTGTGGGCTCCAATGGGGGCAAGGACCGGGGTGCGGTCTCCAGGGGGGCCCCCTACTAGAGGCGAGGAGGTGAGGAGCTGGAGGCGCGGAGCCCAGGTGCAGGAGCCGGGGACAGGGGACAGGCACGGGCGCGCGGTTTCCGCGGGCCCGTCGGAGTGGGGGATAAACGGGAGTCGGGGAAGCTTAGGCAAGGGTCGGGCGCGGCTTAAACGTGAGGGCTGGGTGTTGGCGACCCCAAATGCAAGGGAGCAAAGTGAACAAACCAAACTAGGAATCGGACCTCCAGGATAGCAGGACAGACAGGGGCAGGGCTCGGGAACTAGGAAGGGGGTCAGCATTGGGGGGAAAGACAGGAACTAAGAGATGGAAGAGGGAGGTCACCCTTAAGGGAATTTCGAGGTGGGAGCTCAGGATTAGAATATAGTGTTAAAGATGGTGGTTCTGGGGTAGAAATCAGAGTCGGGGTCCCGTGATAGAGTGCGATCTAAGGTAAGGTCAGAAATAAGGGTTTGTTCTCAGGGTTCAGAGATCGAGGTTGGTTTTGAGAGTCTGAAATAACAGGTGGGCTAGAGTTGGGTTTCAGATTGGTGGGGGCCCAGGTGGGGTCAGAGTTGGGAGCGGGAGAGCAGGAGAGGGGTCAATTTCCATTCCCCGCCCCCATCTCTCTACTCCTGACCCTTACTCCTTCCAACTGAACTTCACTGGTTTAATTGTTATTAGAGACCCTCAGCAGGGATTCCTCTTGTTGGAGGCTGGAGGGTTTCAGATTTCGCACCTCTTCCAGTAATCTCCCCTAATTGCTAATGTCCTCACCAGCCCCATTTCTTACTAGACCACCCTGGATTAGGAGGCGGGGTATATCTTAATTCCCTCACCCCAGCACAAAAAGTTCTTCCCTAAGTCTAACTCCCATTCCTCTTGCTGCAAGGACTTCTTCTCCTTAGCTCTATAGTTAACATTGTGGAGGGGGGTCCTAGTTAAAGGTTATGGGGATCTGGACACTTAGGTTCCTAACCTGGAAGGGGACTGTGGGCTTGAGGTGGGGGAGGGAAGCTGGAATGGCTGAGATCTCCGAGGACACAGATCTGGGCATTACAGGGGCCCCCACATGCCTGAGTTATGGGTCTGGGGTTTGAAGCTGTAGGGTGGGACTCTTGGATCCCCAGACCTGCGGGGCTTGGCATGGTGCCCGGGAGGGGCCAGTCCTGGGGCTGTGGAGGTGTTAGGTGCACGTGGGGTGGGGCAGGCCGACCAGGGAGGGGTCTGGGAGTGTTGAGAGGTGGAGACCTGTGGCTGGAGGTGTCAGAAGGCAGAGACCAGGTTGGAGGTGAAGGCTCCCAGGTAGTGGGGGAATCCCAGCTGAACCTTGGAGAGTTCAGAATCTGGAAACATGATTTAAGGGAACCAACTAGAAATCAGTGTTTGGGTGGGCACATCTTATGTAAATTGTGGGGGTCTAAGATGGAGGAGTCATTATTTGGGACACAGTCTGAAGTTTAGGGGACAGTTTGTATGGATATTGTATCGGAAATTGAGAGACAGTCTAGAGATGGTCAGCATTTGCGGGCGTATTTTGGAAGAGTTGACATATGGGGGGCTGGAGATGGAAATACTGTCTGAGGGTTTCTCCAGCCCTCCTATCAGCTGAGCCACCTCCTCTCCTTGGGTCCAAACAGTAGGAACATTTGCACTCACTCAGCAGCTGAGAACTGAGAGGTCCCCCCTGCTGCTTCTAGCCTTCCTCACGTTCTTGCTGGTGTGATGTTGCCACCCCCAGGCTGGCTCCCTGTCTGGCTCCCTCGCCTCCAGTTCTCACAGATCAGCTGGTCCAGCTGCTCCCCCCATTTCAGAGATGGAAAACCTGGAGCGTCCTTGAGTGTTGGGGGCTGCTCGAGGTCCTGGGAGGAGACCAGGACTAGAAACTGGGCTTCTGGTTTCACACTGCCTTCCTCTGCTCCCTGTCACACCCTCCTCCAGAGACAATAAGGAAATGAAAGGGGAGAAATTTCACCCTCCTGAGGTGGGGGTGCAGGTACCCTGAGGGCTTCCCCCCACAATCTCAGCCCCGCCCCGGCAGGGAAATCCGGCTCAGACCCGGACACTGGGGGTTCATCCCAGCCCCAGGGCGTGGGAAAGCCTACAGTGGATTAGGGCGGCTGGAGTGCTGGAGGTCGGACCTCAAGGAGGACTTCCGGGTGGGTGGGTAGCCAGGGAAAGAGGGCCCAGGGGTCCCAATCTGTCTTCCTCTGTGATACAAGAAAGTCTGAATGAGTTGGAAAAGTGGGAGAGGGGGATTGCAGAAGGATTTAGGAGCTCTCTGTAGATGCCCTGAATCTGTCACCTTCTCCCCTCATTTCTTATTATGGGAGGGGGCAAAGCCAGCTAACCAGGGGGAGTCCAGTGCGTGGGGGAGGGGAGTAGCTGTGGCTTCGATTTCAATGTGAGACTTCTGGGGAGAGGGTAATACTGAGGGAAGGAGGCAGATAAATACAAAGGTGTGCCAAAGGAGAAAGAAATGGAGGTGGCAGAAGAGAGACACAAGGAGAAAGAGGGTGGGGGGCAGGGACGGGGTGGGGGGAGAGAGATGGAGTTAGGGAGAGTCGTGAGCAGAGAAAGGCAGAGGGTAAGACAGTGGGGAGGAGAGAGACAGATAAAGGCTGGTCAGGAGTGTGGGGAGGAGAGAGTGGGAAAGACAGAGGGGAGACAAAGACATGGGGAAGGGGAGGGCAAAGGAGTGTAGAAGTCCTGAGGCAGAGAAAGAGATGGACAGATAGACAGAGACAGCGAGGGCCAGAGATCCGGGAGAATCGCTACCTGGGTGGACACCTGAAAGAGAGGAGACAGTTCCCGACTGGAACTCAGACCTGGGTTTGTTGCCACCTGTCCCTGACTTCCAGAGTGACCCTGGCAATTCCCTTTTCTCTCTGAACCTTGGGACCTGCAGACACTTACAGTCACCCGGAGTTGAGACGGGACCCACTGCCTCATAGCAGAGGTGGCTCCCACCGGAGCTCAGCAGCACCCCCAATGCCATGAGACCCCAGCGGGTCAGGGAGGAAGGAGCAGGGTCGCCGGGCAGACGGAGGATTGAGGGAGAGAGCATGGGAGACAGTGATGAAAGGAGTAAGTAGACACAGGCAGAGAAGTCACCGTGCACCGTGCTTCCTATTTTCCTTACCCGCTTCCTGCTGGGCTGTCAGCTCCACGAGGGCAGGCCTTTTGGTCCGCGTGGTCACTGCTTTTACCGCACGATCAGGTCACTGGTCCCAAGCCAGGCTGCCTGGACTCAGAATCCCAGCTCTGCCCCTTCTTTGCTGTGTGACCCAACAGCCTCTCTGGGTCTCAGCTTGCTAGGCTGTAAAATGGGCATCATAATAGCACCTCCCCATAGTGCGGTTGTAAAGATGACAGGGGACCTCTCTGCGCAGTGCTGGGAGCAGTGCCTGGCACAGAGTAGGTGGCCAACAGATATCGGTTAAATGGATGGAAGACTGCGTGGAGGGTTATTTAGAGAGACGGAGCAATGTCTACTGTATTTCATTGATGCACGTTTCCCCCCCCATTTGAACATTTCTGAAAATGGACTGGGTTTCACAGCCACTGGTGTCTAGGGGTTATAATTGACATTGGGGGTTTTTCTATTCTTACTAATACGTAATACTGCAGCTTACAAACATGATGTCTTAGAGTTGATGATATGTTAGTAAATATATGATATGAGGTTGAGACATGATTTCTGACAGTCGAACATTTTTGACCTAATAAAAACTAATTTTATAGCCTAAAAGATGGAGAGAGAGTACACATATAGATTAGGTTATTAGACAAATCAGCCCCTCTCAGTTTTTTGGGTCTCAGGACCGCTTATCACTCTTAAAAATTATTGAGGACCCCAAGAAGTTTTCATTGGTGTGGGTTGTCTCTTAATGGTTACTGCATAAGAAATAAAAAATAAGAGTTTAAAAATGTATTCATTAGATCTAAAGTAGCAATAATTTGTTAGTGTAAATAACGCATTTTTGTTAAAATGACTGTATTCGAACACATTTAGCGAGAGGAGTGGCGCCATTACGTGTTTGCGGATCTCGGTGTCTGGCTCCATACGCAGCAGCTGTGGTCTCATTCGGTAGCTGCTTCTGCATTCGGCCTGTTGCCTGTCACATGTCACGTGGCCTCTGGAAAATTCTCCTGTGCACTCAGGAAAGAGAGTGAGGCAAGCTAGTAATACCTTAGCATTATATGAAAATAGTTTTGACCTCATGGACACCCTAAACCCTAAAAAGGTCTTGTCGACTCCCCAGGGTGCCCTGGACCCCACTTTGAGAACCACTTGAAGCATGAGCTTCAGTGTATTGGAGCATGGGGGGGG